TGCCCTGCAACCCTGTCCCCTGCCCCACACAGCCACCGTGCCCTTCCACTGAGGAACTGTCCCCTCTCAGTGGGTGACACCACGAATCAAAGGCCACTGCCCAGGCTGTGGGGACAAATGCCAACTGTCTTGCTGTGCAAGCACCTGTCCCCTTTGCATGGCCCAGTGGGACATCCTTGGAGCAGCCACGTGCCAGTCTGCCCATCCTGCAGCGTGACCACACACAGGGCTCCCTGTGGGTGCTGCGAGCTGAGGCAGTGCCCAAATATTGTGGTTGTCATGGAGTCCCAACACAACCCACATCACTTACTCACGGCCCCACCTCAGCTGTTTGCCCAGAGCCCGTTCCTGTCCCGCTGCTCTGCTGGCACTCCCTGGGCTCAGGGCACCGTGGGTGACCAGCCACAGCATCACCAGGAGCTGTGCACAGACAGGGGGTGCAGAGTGTGGTTTGATGCTGCCACAGGCCGCTGTGGGCAAATCAGCGGCCTGAGGAGTTGGGAAGTGGCTCAAACAACACAGCCTTTGGCAGCCCTGCAAGTCTCTGTCTGCCCTGGTCCCTGTGCAGAGGAGCCACGGGGCAAGGACAGGGCTGTCCCCATGGCTGGGCTGCCCCAGGAGTGTCAGATCTGCTCGTGCACCCAGAGCCCTTTGCTGTGGGGTAGAGCCTCAGCGACAACCTCCTCCTCTTTTCTGAGGGGCACGTGTTCTCTGCTGGGACGTAGTTGACAGTTTTTGACTGGACGAAGCCATGAGCAACCTGCTCACACTAATCCTGGCTTGGAGCAGGGACTGGAGACCTCCAGGGGTGGCCACCAGCCAGCTCTGGGAGTTAGGGATCACTAACTTTACCTCCCACTTCAGAGGTGAGCTCCAGGGCCGGTGCCAGCGGCTGCAGGCACGTCGCAGCACCTGGGGTTGCTTTGGTAGCCCCAGCTGGTCACAGCCACATGTTGCAGCCACTTCCTTACATCCCCCAACCAGCCCTGCGACCTCTCCACCCAGGTCTCCACAGGAGCTGCCGTTTCACAGCCCAGCCAGAGGCAGGGGGACAAGGACATCCTGCAGGGATAGGCCAGTGTGGGCAGGATTGGTGTGGGAGGCTCATCTGATGCCAGAGTCCAGGCAGACCTCTCCAATAAGTGTTTTTTCTCTCTTCTGTTTCTGGAATGTAAACCAGCCTCCATGCAGACCAGCAAGGACCCAGGGGTGTCATCCCACCTGCAGAAGATGGGGAAGAGCTTTTGCCTTCTCTCTGGTTTAAGGAGAAGGGAATAACTGGGACTGCCATCGAGGAAGATGATTAAGCCTTGCTGAAGGTACAATCTTGTCCTTAACTTGCCCTGCAATTCCCCACTGGAACAGGTGTCTCTGGCTCAAGTTCAGCTCGAGAGAGCAGCCCAGGTAACCTGGGCTGGAGCATCCAGGCTGCAGCAGCTCTGCAGGGCTCAGCAGCACAATCGTCCCAACCAGCAGCAGGCAGGAGCTGGGCACGTTGGCAGCTCTTCTGTAGGAGCTCCAGCTGGTCCTGGGGCTGCAGAGCCCAGAGAGCCAAGAGATGGCAAACGGGGAGAGCTGGGCCAGGGGGAGCACCGAGCCACGGCTGGCGAGCTGCCCCACGGGGTCGGGCTGAGCAGGTCAGGTTTCGGTTCCTAAGGGCTGGGGTTTGTTGTGCATTTGTTGTCACCATGACAGCCCTGTTGGGATGGAGATGGTCCTTGGCTGGCTCCTGCTGTTCCTCATGCAGCCCGGAAAAGGAAGCCCGGGAGGAGGCTGGGGCTTGGTCCAGAGCCCACGGGACGGGCAGGAGTGGAGAGGGAGGTTGCACAGGTCCTGTGCTGTGGTGGAGGAGCATGTGCACGGCTCAGTGCTCAGCTCCCTGGGGACATTTCCCTTCTAACCAAGGTCAGGATGTTCCCAGGCTGTCTCCCGCCCCAGGGACCTTAACGAGCTGAAGACTCCAGTGCTTACCCCAGACACACCGAGGCTCACACACAGCTCAGTGTCCTCGAGCAGCTCCGGCTGCTGGGCTGGTCCCTGCCAGGTCTGTGTCCCTCTCCCTGCCTTCACACAGAGCCCCCGAGTTGCTGTGACTGCTCGAGGTGCATCTCAGAGCTTGCACGAGAGCACAGCACAACCTCGGAGCGCCCTCTGTGCTCACCCTCATCTTCTTTGCCCCTCACCTCCCCCCGGGAATGAGCGCTCCAGGCTCCCGGGAGTCCTCCTGTTTCAGGAATGAGTCGCTGGCTCGGCCGCGCCTGGGGTGGGATGAGGTTATGCCGGGAACGCCGCTTCTCCGGCGCGAGTTGCTACAAAACAGAGGGAAGTGTTTCGGAGGTTGTGCAATCTGTGTACGGTCACCCCAGCAACAGCGTGTCCACAAGGCACCGGCAGGGGCTCAGCTGCGGCTGCCGAGCGGCGCGATCGTGGGGCGCGGGGCGCTGCGTGTGCGTGTGTGCCGGGTGTGACACACAGCACGATCCGCGATCCCGCCGTGCCCGGCTCTGGGCATAGAGGAGGAGGGGGGAGGGCAAAGCTCCATCCTCTGGCAGGAACTTCCTTTCCCCCCTTCCCGCCCCCGTCCCGCAGTTCAAGGGCAGCTCATGGAGATGCTCTCGGGACGCGTCAAAAGCAGCGCAGGAACAGACTCACGCAAAATCGTTTCCCAAAGGAAGGTCCCCCTTGACTTCAAAGGGTAAACAAAGAAACTCGAGCCAGGCCCGAAGATGAAAGCAGGCAGGATGCTCGTGCCGTGCCAAGGCAGGAGGCTCACAGCAGGCACTGCAAGGCCTGGCACAGCTGCCAGAGGATGGCCAGGGATCACGACTTCTGATTTTAGAGGACGGTGCAAGGCTGTCATCCTGCAAATCACTGCTTCTTCCTAATAAAAAGCCACAGTGTCTCGTGGTGGAAACAGCTGGCCCAGGGCGCTGCCTCCTGCTGATGGGAGAGTTCATGCCCTAGCAAAAACCCTTTTATTTAGTGCTGGAGGAGGTGCTTGGGGATGTCAGACCTCAATGTTTCTGCAGTGAAGGGGAGTTAAAGCATCAGGACTCCAGTTCGCTGATGATCTTGGGCTGTACCTTGCAGTCATTGCAATCCTCTGGTGTCGAGACCAGGATCTCTCTGCCCAAACTGCACTCTGCAGCAGCACCCTAATGTGACTCTGTCCTTTTGCTCCCTGCCACAGGTTTGCTGTGGACCCTCCTCATTCAGGGCAGCAGAAATACTGCTGGCATCTGAACCTGTGGGGTATCAGCATTAGAGTCCCAAGATGAGGTTGGGAAGGAGAGTCCAATTCTCCCAGGAGCTAAAACCATCTCAGCCTCACCATCTTCCCTCTTGGTGCCCATTAAGCATCTTCAACAGTCTTCTTTTGATGTGGTTGTGGCAAACCCACAAACCCCAGGCCAATTCCTACCACCATGTGGCACACACAGTCCTGCCTGCTGCCTGTGAGGTTCAGGAGATCAGAGTCCAACGCTGGCAGAGCTGGGAGCCCGTCCTGCTGGAGCCTGGCTCTTGGCTCAGCACCCAGCTGCTCCAACACATGGACACAGCAATGTTTGGCAGCCTCGAGTTATTCAGCAGAGTGGAGAAAATACTCCAGCTGAAGGCAGCAGAAGGATGGCTCCCCTGCCCAGGGTCCCCAGGGCATCCTGTTGGCCTCCAAAAAAAAGTGTTGGGCTCCTGCACCTCGCAGAGCCTGCTGGGCTGGGCAGAACCAGAACATCCCAACAGCTTATGGGGTCTGCACTGGTTGCTGGGGGCTCTGGGGGCAGAGAGCCTTCTCAGGGGGATGTGTCTGTGTGTGACAGGGGAATTTGGTGCTGTTCTCGGTAGGGCAGTGGGCAGCAGAGCCTGGGAAGGGGAGGACTAAATGGGAACCTCGGGGTGAGTCCCATGCTCCTGGACAGGGTCATGTCCCAGAAAACTATAGGACATCCCCATCCCTCCCAGACTGAGCCCAAAACCTGGTACATCAGGACATGCCAGGGGTTTCTTTCCCTGGACATCTGATAGATCCAGGAGCGGCTGCAAAAAGGAGGAAACTCTTTAGCAAAGAGCATAGAAAATTTTATTGTGGCCAGAGCTACTAAAGAACTCTGTACATGATTTTGGGACTGGTCCTGCATGGACAGAGGTTAAGAAAAACACACAAGGTCTGCTCAGGGGCACCTGCTGCAGAGGAATTACCAATGCCTTCTGGTGGAGGGACAGCTGGCCTTGGAAAACCCTGAGCCCAGCGTTGCTGCAGAGTTTCCTCGATGATGTGGATGACAGGGACGTGAGGAGAAACAAGAGGAAGGACTTTGTCTAACCAGGACCCATTGGTGAGCAGATGCCCTGGCCTCTGCAGACACCCAGTGCCACGTGTGCTGGCCCACAAAGGTTGGACCCACACTCACCTGCTTTTCCAAAGGGTCACACTGCCACTGGATACTGCCAGCCACAGCAAGGGATGCTGCAAGGAGGGTGACCACAGGCCAGCCCTTCCTACAAACTGAGACAAAATTACTTCAACAGCTACATGAGACTTCACTTTTGCTGACCAATGGATCATGTAATTTGATGAGGAGTCAGGGCTCCTCATCCCAGTTCTTTCAGGAGACAAAAATCAGACAACAGAGAAGAGTGTAAGGCAGCCCTTTAAAACACCCCCACGTCTTCCTCCCTGGGGCTAGGCTGTCCCATCAGGGCTGGGAGTCCAGCCTGCCTGTCCCATGTTGGGATATCCTGTCCTGCTCTGAGTAAGTGCTTGCAGGTTGAGACAGGTGAGGGGAGAACACCTTCACCGACTCACACAGCAAACCTGCTTTGCCCTGTCCTTCCCTAACCTGCACCCACCGTAGTCTGGACAAAGGGTCAGTTGTGCTGTCCGTGCATCAAAGATCTGGTAGGTTGATGGAGACTCCCCCGCCTTCCTTTTCTTCCCTAATTCTTTCCTGTTTGTTCACCAGCACCAGGGGCCTGTCTGGAAATGGTGCAACTGGTCACATCAACCAAGGCTTGGCTGGGCTCTAACGCAGATCTGGCAGCCCGGGAAATGGAAAGGTTTCAGGACTTGCTGTATCCCAAAGCTTCTGCTATGAGAAGGCTGCACTGTGGGGCACCCCAGGCTGCTGGGAAGGGGGAGCAGGTCGAACTAAATTGCCTTACAGAGAACATGCTGGTGGTGGACTTGGCTTGAGGGGGCACAGTGGAAAGCGGTGTAGGGATGGGGCAATCCTGAGGTTACTCCCTGACCACCTGCTGAAGCCTCTGAGCATGATCCAAAGACTGACAGGGTTTAGGCAGATGGGAAATGCAGATTTCAGGGTGCAGGGAAGAGCAGAGATGCAGCCTGGTTCTTCCCCACACAGTCTCCCGGGCAGTCCCTGCAGTTCCAGTGTGCAGAGGGCCAGGGGGGATCAGCCCTTTCCCAAGGAAAGCACTGGAACTCTCTCAAGAGCAACAGGTCTACCTTAGGTTTGCCACCTCGCTGCCTCTTGCCTTTGGCTGAGGGTGAGAAGTGTCTCACTGCAGCCTGACAGCACATGCAGAGTGAGGGATGAGCCCCTCAGGCCTCTACACAAAGCTAACACCGTTCCCAAAGGCTGTGGCTTTGGAAGGCTGATCCCTAGGCCGCTGTGGTGCTTGTCCTTATGTCCTTGGAGCAGGGGTGGTGTCTGCTCACGTGCTGCTTGCTGGTGCATTTTCTGTGGTCAGGTTCGGTTGTGCTCTCCCTGGGCTGGAGCTGAGGGACAAGAGGTTCTCCACTGCTCTTACTCACAAACACATCAGGAACCTTGGAGAAAAGTTTCAGGTCTTGTTCCACGTGTCTGTCCTGCTGGCAGCCTCTCCTTTTCACCTTGTGCTCAGAATACAGGTTCTTCTTCCTGTCCCCTCTGGGGTTGTCTGTGGACAAGGGATAATGTTGAGAGTTGCTTGAGTTATCCTTAGGAGGCCCTTGAAGGGCTGTGCTCCCAAGGCGAGTCTGAGCCACAGGAATCTCATCCACGGACTCAGCAGACTCTGAGTGATAGTCAGCTGGGGGTCCTGCTGCCTGGATGAGGCTGATGCTGCCAGGGGGCACAGCAGCGCTCAGAGGAGAAGCTGGCACTAAGAGGTGAAGGCTGTGGGAAGGTGGGGTGGCAGCAGCTGTGGCTGGGAACTCTGCAGATGGAAATAAAGGGAGCAGAAAGCTTGAGAGAGATCTCTCAGCCCCACAGGGACATCAGGAAGCCCAGGAACTCTGCTGTGGCTGATCCACCAGGGTTAGAGGAAATCATACCTATATTTACACAAAATTCAGCAGAGAAACTGGGTGGTGCACTCTCACCTGAGTGGGGATCTGGGAACGAGGGCTGAGGTGCAGCATGTTCTTTAGATCCACTGTCCATTGCTGAGGAAGAACCTTTGTGCATCTTCTTTCTTCTTTTCTTCTGTTGCTGTGAGAGCAAGTGGCCCAAGAGAGGAGAAGTCTGTTTATCAGCCCAAAGTAACAAGATATACAGTTTTTTCACTTGCTACCCCTTTCTAATTCCTCCTACTTGAATAATGAGCACCAGGTATAACCAAAGTCCAAGAATATTTTATAGTTTGAGTTGCTATAAAGCAGGGATAGAGAACAGGTATTGAATAAACACACACATTATCTGCATGCAGTGATTCTCTGTGTGTTGTCTCATGCAGCTGGAGGATTTATGAGACGCTGATCACTTGTATTGGCAAAGCCAAACTAGAAGAGGGGGCCAAAACTCACACAGCACAGGACATCCCAGAGAGGGACAGTCCCTCCCAAGAGAGGGACAGTTCTTGTCCAAAATACAAGTATAAATGAAAAGGAGTTTTTCTTATCATGTAGATGACAAGATTTTGATAACAAGCTTGGAGGAAAAGGGAAAAGCACCACCATCTGCCATTTGCAGATAAATGAATGTGAGGAGCACAGTCCAAGGACTCTGGACAGCTGTTTCACAGGCTCAAACTTCACACCCTGTGTGAGCAGGGGGCAAGCACAGCCTGCACTAGAGTGAGGGTGTGCCCCTGCACCTCGGTGCATTGCCAGCAGCACAGGTTTGGGGGGTAGCAGGTCCTGCTTACCTGAGAAGGGGCTGCAAAGAGGAGAGCTGGGGGCTCTGGGGAGGAGCTCTGCTCGGGGTCACCTCCTCTGCTGTGGCCATAGAGCTTGGGAAAGCTAAAACACACGGCAGACACACAGGGTGAGTCCCCAAGACAGGATTTAACTCTGATTCCCTCTTTGCATGTACACATCAGCCTGACTGAAGCCTCCCCTGCCTTCCACAGCATTCCCAGCAAAACTGCAGGGCAGTTTTTCCTGCACAACTGTGCTAAATATGAAGGAAATCCCCAGGGACACAAATTAACAGGCAAGGATTAATTAAGAGGCAAAGACCTTCTTTTCCCATGAGTGCTTGCCTGTGTTATAAACTTTGCATCTCCTGACAACCTGAAATCATGTAACCATAATGAGCAGCATGCAGGAATTATGGGACAAATCAGGCAGCCTCAAAGTAATTTTACCATAAAACAATTAATAGGAACCACTTTGATATAAAATATTTACTGTAAAACAGCGTTAATAGAGTATTCTAGGAATGATATTTTCCCAGGGGAGGGAAAGCAAGTATTTATCCCCTTCTTGAAACTCAAAGATTTCACTGGGTCTTGGTCAAAATACTGGTGGCTCCCTATCCTTGATGACAATTTCCCATCCACCACACACACTGCTGGAAGACTCTTCTCACCCTTTTCCTGGAGTTACTGTTGAGAATTCCACTGCTTGTATTCCAGGGTCTGTATAGCCAGGGTTACCTGACAATAGGTCTGCTTCCTGGAAAAAAAAAAAATTAAAAAAAATTAACATTTTCAGACTAATATGGACACAGAGTGGAGAAGAGGGATTTTCACTACAGATGTCTCCTTTCTCCTCATGTCAGGCATTTTCTGCCACCCTCACAGGCAGCACAGCTGAAACTCAGCAGGAATCTGCTGCTTAAGAAGATGGAAAACCAAGACTGAACGCAATTAGAAGTCCCTGATTCATTCATTTAGTCCAGGCAGTACTTTATGTGACTCAAGACCAAATCACACTTAGAGAGATCAGCTTAGTCATTTCTTGGGACCACATTCAAAACACCACTTAAAGCCTCCATTAGTTACACAGTCCACTCCGAGGAACTACTCAGTGAATGCAAAAAAACCTGGTTTTTAAATGCAAAATGGTGAGGAAGATGAAAGCTTGCAACACATGGGAAAAACATAAAGTATTTTCTGGTTCTTGCGTGATCCTGTCTGACTGGTAACTGCTGTTTTTTAAAAAAAGTATGTGATACATTGATCATTTGCCTCAGCTGTAGGTGAACTCAAAGTAATGCCACACTGAGCTTGAAAACTGCATATTTTCAGGTACATACAAGAAGACTCCATAAAGAAGCCTCCTAAATCCAAGTGTATGCATTACAGGAAAGGACTCCAACTCTGCCTCAAAAGGACCCAGTTAAGATGGTCAGAGTAGCAAGGGATGCAGGCCATGAAACCCTGTTATCAAAAAGGATAAACCATGCTCTGAAGAACCTTGACACTACTTATCAGCTCCTCTTAAACTTGAATAACCAGCAGGACAATTTCCTCTTAAGCATTTTAGCATGCAGTGATTACCAAGGCACACATTTTAAGGTAACTTTTAGGTGGTGAAGATGGAGGGATTTTAAATGTGATAGGCATTAAACAAGCTTAAACAAGCTGATGAAGACCTGTTTTTCTGAACAGCCTGATCAGCAAATTTGAGAAAAATGAAGTCAGAGTTGGACACCCCACAGATGGGCTCCTGAGAGATCCAGGGCCTCTGCACTTCACCAGATTCATAAACAATCAACAAAGGAGCAGAGCAGTGAGAAGCCTGGTGATGACACTCCCTGCTGTAAGGCATTAAAAATGAAAGGCAGCCGCAGAGAGCCACGGAAGAGCCTCTTAATCCTGAATTACAGGGTGAGAAAATGGCACACAAAAAGCAGTGTTGCCAGAGGTAAAGATGGGAAGCAATGCACGTGGGAAAAGCAGGGCAAACTTTATCCCTGGAGTTGCACATTCAGTGGCAGCCAAGAAGTCATTTCAGATGTTAAGAATAAAAAGGTGAATAAAAGGAGAAAATAGAAAAGAGTTTCATGTTACTGAATAAAATCATCGAAAGCTTGGACACTGGATTCTTTATAGTGTTCCAGCATCTTTCACCACAGAAGGTCGGGAAGAAGGTACAGAGAACAGTGACAATGAGAGGGACTGAGCAGTTTCTGCACAAGAAAACAGCTGATGGAGCAGGGTTCTTCAGTCACAAGAGGGAATACTCAGGGCAGATATGAGTGGAGAAAGCTTATGGAGAATAATTGTTTACCAGCTCTCCAACAAACACAGCACTTAGAGAGCATCAAATGAAAAAAAAATCAGGTATTAGTTTCAAAAGAAACAGAAGGAAGGCTGCATTTCTGACACAGCATGGAAATAAGCTCTAGGGTGCTGCAGGTGCTAAATGTGACACAGACTCAAGAAGTGAGAAATGCTGGTGTGGGAAATCAGCAGATACAAAGCTGTCTGAAGCTCTGTGCTCCAGAAGCCACTAACACAGAGTTCTGAGTGCTGGGAGAGAGCACTGGGGGCTGCAGCTCCTGCACTCTGTCTCAGCAGCCAGAGCTGGCCAGTGTCAGAGCCAGCACACTGGTCTGATCCCCTCTGGCCAGCCTTCTCCCCGTGCAGAAGAGATCCTTCCAAAATGACAAGTTCCTTTCAAACATCTTGGCATCGATGTCTGGAGTCTCCGCACTCATGCAATGGGTAGATAAGAGAGTTGCCAGACTGGAAGGACTTCAGAATTGCTGCATTTTGTTAACATGCTCTGTGCTTAACTGGTCTTGGAAAGGAAAAAAAAAAAAAAAAAAGGGATGGAGAGGAATTTGCAGCTGTTTTATAGGTGGCAACATAAAATTGGAAGGGAACGGGTTTAGCAGTTGCAAATGTCAGGACTTTCTGATTTGAGAATCATGCTGTTTAGATCTATCACAGGCAGGATTTATGCAAGTGCAAGATTATTAATCCGCAGAAACTTACTACGTGTATTTCACACAGAACTTGTAACCCAGATCATTGCTGACCATCGACTGAACACAAAGTGTGCACAAACAGGACGGCAGGAGCGGCATGGCGAGGGAGATTAATAAATGATTCATCTCGAGAATAACAGGAACGATTTCTTCCCAAGCAGGGAATGAAAGAGCCTTTCTGAAATCCATTTTTTTTTCATTTCAGCCTTCCATAAATAATGTATAACCAAAGCAGCCACGCAAATGGAAGTACAGCACTGGAGCTGACTAGAGGAAACAAACGGAAGCAGATTCGCTCGGTGGAAAATACAATGTTCTGTCAGTGTGACAAAACCTCCAGCCACAGCAGAGCCCAAGCCTCTCAGGCAGCAGCAGGACAGCCAGAATCCTTCCACTGCAGCACCAAGACAAGCCACTCTTTGCAGCTGGGTTGTTTGGATTCAGCTGTTTGTCCTGCTGAGAACAGACTGCGGGATCGACAGCCCACGGTGCCAATCCTGGCCCTGCTCACCCAACACCAGCTGTGTCCACCCCAAGGACTGTGGTTACAAGCTGAGGGTGAATTCAGCTCCCTTGCCTGCTGCAGCTGCCCTTATCAACCCCTCCAGTGACAGCAAGTGCCCCAAAGTGCTGTCTGCCCAGAAGGGAGGCAGGATTGAACAGGAAAAAAGCACTCTTGTCCCAGGGAAAGGGGATCTCTGAGGCTGAGTGTGAAGATAAGGTTCACCTTAAGGCAACGCTGGAAGGAGGGAACAACGCTGAAAATTTGAGGGAAGCTGAGTAAAATCTGTGTCTATTATTTAAAATCAAACCTCACCGACCTGATTCAGTGTCCAGAGCAAGTTCAAAGCTTCAGGAATGTGAGAAGAATCCCATCCCAGCTGGCCCCATATGAAAGCCAGCTCCCTGGCATGAATGCAACTACTCATTAAAGCATCAGTTTTGGTTTAGTTTGTATTTCTTTGGACTGCTACGCAACAGCCTACAGAAAAAAATTGTTTCTTGCACATCCTGCTTTGGGGACGGTAACAGAGGCAAAGGCTCGATGTGTCCAACTGGTCTGCACTTTTTGTGACATCTGAACCACTTAAGTGTGCAAAATTAGGGCTCCTGCTCTGTGCATGTTCTGAGAAGGATTCTACAACTACATAAGAATCCTTTAACCTGAACAAGAATCCTCTAACTTGCACATAGCCAAAGACTTAACTACAGACCAACGTGGAAAATGGAAGCCAAAACCAACACCCGAGCTGGAATAAGGCTCAAACCCAAGGATTAAGGGGGAAATGGATGTTTCTTCTGAGTCCCTCAAATGAATGAGCAGTTCAGACAAAAGCGGGAAGAGGATGATTTCCATTTTGCGCTCACAACACGCTGGATCCATTACAAAGGGTTGCTGTGTTCAAGCTAAAGAAGGCTGCATTCAACACAGCTCACAAAAGGCAAGTCACTCGGTGTCCTCCTACTCCAATCTGTTTGTTTGTGTTTATCTCTGGTTGCTATGTAAGAAACAAGGAAAATCTGGTGGGTTAAGGGTGAGTTGTTTTTTTTTTTAACAATGTTACTGGGCATCATCCAGTCTTTCTGGTTCCCCAAGGTACTAAGCGCAGCCCTGAAACACTAAACTCCTTCTCACCCTGCTCCTTCCAGGCTTGCTGCTCCCAATTAACCATATTCACACACCTCTAGACAAGCACCACTGAAAGGCTGCATCCCAAATGTGCGCACACACACACAAAGTCCACCCCTGCTCAAACATATTTTCAATGTCAATTAATATTCAGCGACTAGATGATTAGAGCTAATGCTTTACTCTTGTTTTCATTTTCATAGTAAGCAAAGCTCTCTGAGACAAAGTGCCAAGTATTTTTGTTGTTATGGAAACCTCTGTTTAAACTGAAAGTCCAACTTTTCCAAAACAGTAAAAAAAAAAAAAAAATATATATATATCTATATATATATATATCTATATGAAAAGCTAGGGACTCCATATTACACAAAACTGAATTAGCTCACTTTCCCCTTTGCTTTGATAGGAAAAACTATGGATGAGTCCAGAGAGATCCCAGTATCTCTACACAGGATACGTGGATGAAGCTTGGATTTAATTAATTTCTTATGAAATATAAAGCTGGTTGTATAGTAGGTAACTTGCATAAAGTGAAAAGTTACAAAGGACTGAGAATCACGGAATAATTTAGATTAGGAAGAATTTCTGGAAGCTTCTACTTCCACCCCCTGTTAAAGCCAGTACAGAATTTGTCAAAATTTAAGCTAATCCAATAATTTAGCTCAGTTGAGAGAGGGGGTATATCTGCCTCTGCAGAGTGAAGCAGCATTAAAGAGCCTGTAGAACTCTTTTTTACAGAGATACAGATCAACATCATGGGAATCACGAGGACCCTTTATCGCCGTGTAGACTCAATTCAAAGAAAAGCAGATACCAAAGTCATTTCTGAACGACCGGTGTCCTTTTCACTTTGAAGATGGTTAAATTATTGCTGTGATCAGCTGCTCCATGAGCAGTCTCTCCAGCCTTAAAGCTGGTCTCACTTTCAGCCATGACCTGGGGTACCACTCCCACAGGGCACCAAGCTGTGGCTCTGCCACCCAAACAGATGGTCCTGCCCCTTTCAGGGAAAGGATTCTTCCCACTCCTCAGTCACCCTCCTTCGTGCTGAGCCAGGCATTTATGCGACTGCTTGGTGAACCAAATGGGAGAGAGCTGGGCCAGCTCAACTATGTGTTTTTTTTTTTTTTTAATAACTTTATTGTTACTCAGATGAGTTCCCCCACCCTGTCCTAACGAACAGCTGTGCTGGCAGAGGAGATGAGACAGTGTAGGGCCCAAAACAAGTGGTGGAGGAAGAGAGTGGGTGGGATTGATTCCTTTGAAAGCAGCGCTTGCTTCTGCCTCAAGTGTTCATCGAATTACAGGCCTTACACCCTCTCACATCCTACTCAACCCCATCAAAGCACCTCTGAGGTCTTATCTCTGGCAACTGCCTTTAAAATTTGGAGCTCAGCAAAGTGAAGCAAACTTTGCACTGCAGGCAAGTGAGGCTGGTTTTGAGAAAGGGGACTGAGAGTAGGACGAGTACCTGACTGGGCCTCACTTGGGAGGAGCAGGACTCCTGTTGCTTGTCCACTTTCTCTGCCTCTTGCTGGGGCCGCTGCTGCAGGATGTACTCGTAGGTCGTCAGTTTGTGCCACACTGGGAGGAGAGAAAAGAGACCTGTCAGCACAGGAAAGGCCACTCCCTGACTGCACTTACACAGACAGCCTGAATAACCACACAGTCAAACAGTAACTGTAAACATGAAAGGACTGACACTCTAAGCCAAAAGTACCTGTGCACTGTACTGTATCTTTTATGCATCTTACTTTATCTCTTATTGCCATCATCAGAACGCTTTCTTGCAGTCCCACTGCTCTTCTAAACCACCCTACAATGGCACAGCCTTCTAGGCTGCAGTAATCTGCTCAGCTCATTTCAGAGCACATCCATTATTCATGGCCAACAGGTATGAATAGCTCAGTGAGCAATCAGAAGGTGTGTGATGCTAAATGGAGGGAAGGAATCGCTCAGGTTACTGTGTCCTGTGGAGATTAAAGGCATCTAATGTGCAAACCAGCGAGCATCAAATGCACAGCTTGCCTCGTGCCAAGCAGATGTGCCCAGAGTTCACATATTTTTGATTTTATTTGCTCTTAAAGGTCCCCCATGCAAACACATCTGCTTCCACAAATGACCAGAAGCATGGGACACTTCTGAGCAGCTTGGTTTCTTCGTGAGACGCCAAATCTTGCCAGGGTCCAAACCTCAGACATTCCTCCCAAAACGACCCTGTTATGGTATTTTTAGAGAACAAACCCCAGAAATGGATGCTGAAGGGCTTTAGTGCACAGCCTGGTAATCATTCCACCTTTTTTCCAGAAGCACTGCAGTTAGAGCAGATGCCTGGGATGTGAGACATCCCTACTAAAATCCTTCCTCTGCCTGAAGACACTTGTATCAGTAATATCTTATCTCTCAAACCATGCCCTGAGCACAGTATTACTTCACAGGAAAGTGGGGGAGAGCAGAGGAGAAGGTGCCCCTCTGCTAAAGCAATCACCTTATGAAGAAATAAAAATTCAGTATCCATCTGGTCAGGAAGACAGAGCACAGAGAGATGAATGTGAGTCTGCAGCCAAGTGATTAGCAAATGCACTTAATGGGGGACAGTGCAGAGCACCGTTTGCTTTCTTTGAGAAACAGAATATTGCTTCATAAGCAAAGGGCTATAAACCATTTTTAATTTAGAGGTTGTTGGTTTCTGAGTACTTACTGTGGAACTTTTAAAATATTTTAACAGAGCTATTTAGTTAAAATACTGCATTTTTTTGGCCAGATAACACCGCAGCACATAACACACAACCTATAATCACAGCCTGTGAAGAGCCACACATCCTTTCCTATATTTCCTTTCTATATTCCCTACTATTTTTTTCTTTCTACTCTGCTGACTATCGGCCTCTCAGTACTGAAGAAAAAATATATCCTCCCTCCAAATTTGTGAAGTGCTGTGCTTCACTGAATGCTTTTAGAACTGATCCCGAATCAAGACTAGTAATTTTTAATGCATGGACCTACTATTTGGAGAATAACCTACATCCTTCCTTTTGAGTGATCACCATAATTAAAATCAGGAAAGTAACTCTGAAATTTCTACTGTGCTTGTAACAAAACTAGATTCTAAATTTTCAAAGTCATACCTGACTGAAGCAATTTTTTTTTTTTATGTGAAGCCTAAGGGCATTACCACTCACAGGGATGCTATTTTCTTTCTGTAATTTAATTATTTAAAACCAAAAAAGGTTTATGAAAAAATACTTATGAACAGTAATTACATTTGAATTGGTAAACACTTCTAGTCCCAAAAGAGGGTAGACAGTTCATTAAAACCCTGTCTACCTCAAAGCACTCAGACTAAACTACTGACAACTAGAGATGTGAAATAAGAGGAATTCAACCAGACATATTTGTCTATCTCCCTGAAGCCCAGTTTTTAAGCTAAATGCAGTTGTAAGTGCAATGCATACTCAAGTGTAGCACACAATACAGGCTTCAGTATGGTAACACCCCTCCTTCAGAGCAAGGACTTACACACTACATTCTGCACAGCTGGAACTGGTTTCATTAGGGTAGCAGATCTTAATGTAACAAAACGTCAGCAAAAATTTACCAATAAATAATTAATTAATTTTAAAGCGGGCCAAAAGTAGAAGTCAACTTGGCTCAAAATTTATTCTGAAAGAGGAAGAAGAATCACCCCAAGGCAAGAGCAACCAGAAGTCCCCCAAGCCCGGAGCAGAGCTGCGGGTTCCGAGGGAGACAGCAGGTCTGTATCCCAGGCACGGAGCACCCTCTGGTGGAAGCTGTGCACAGGGACAGCATCAGCACAGCCCAGAACTAAACCGAAGAATGCTTCTTCATCCAAAAGAAACCTTCCTGGAGTGGCCCCAGCTTGGACATGCTTTTTGCCTTTCCACGGTGCTAGAGATCAACCTTTTGGATCCCCAGGTATCGCCATCAGCCCAGCAAAGCCAACTGGCAGTTCCACCAAGAAAGCAAAATCACAGCACGACCAAGTCTAGGTCAAGCTCCAAGAGGCTCCAGGAGGGAAAGGACGGTGTCCTCACTGACTGTGACACCCGTGCCAGCTGAGGAGCACTCACCCATCGAACGCTGCACTTCAGCACTGCAGCTGTTTTGCCTCTGGAGCCGCGCTGGTCTGTGCTGACCTAGTTTGTGTTGGCACCTGCACAGATGTTAACTGAGAAGCTGAAAATCCTTCCAAGGATCCTCTGTAACTGCTGCCCTTTACTTCTCTTCCACCACATCCCTTTTCCCTAGTTCTGGCACCACCATCTAATGAAAGTGTAAGATCTTTTCCCATCACGACCTTCATCAGCAGCCAAAAAGCACTGGCTTCATTTTAGACGACGACTGAAAAAAGGTTTTTGATGCCCACCTGTACATAAACAAACATAAATACCCCTTCTTGACACAGCAACAACCTGGAGATCTAAAGAGAAGCCTTTCTGAAAGCCTCTTCCCCTGAATTTCCACAAGTCTTGTGTCAATATGGTACAAGTTCCATAAAGCGACCTTGGCCTGGGTGTCAGGGCTCCTATTAGAAACTTAGCTCAGTACATCCACATTTCTCTGGGATGAGGGAGAAACAGGCTCTCTCACACAACAAAGCACAGTGAGGAGACTCACAGAGCCCATATGCAGAGTCAATCTGAACCTGCCATTGCTGGTGCCACGCTGGGATCGACCACTTCATCCCACCCGGTCTCTCCCACATGCTTCAGTTCCAGGACAACACAGCTCAAACATGAATGCACAGGCCCAGTGCAAGCCCCACATTGCACATGCACTGATAAGCCAGCCTTCTACTGGGGGAAACTCGTTAAGTATGATGTTGACCCCCAATTTTCTACCTTTCCAATGTGACACGGGTGAACACACAGCGAGTGCAGGGACGAGTGGAAGCTAATAAAATGAAAACAAAACAGGGATGCAGGTGACAGGAACACAACACCTACAGAGATAAATGTGGAAGGTCAAGAGGTGGCCCAGCAGGATCACGGTCACCAGGCTCAGAAGAATAAAAATCCCAGCTGTGACCAAAATGGCAGGTGCCTTGGTCTCAACAGGAGATGCAGGAAGAAACACAAGCCAGCGGTCCATGTGATTCCTTAGAGCTGTAAAACAGAGGGAATTGGAGGTTAAATGGATTGTCCTGGTAGGAAATACCTCTAACCAACCTTTACAGCTGGAAATCTTGTTAACTCAAAAGTAGCTGCAGACCCCACTGTGCCCTGGAGGCCTAAAGAAATCTGGTGCCTGTGGGGATTTCAGGAAGAGCAGTTAGCTCTGTAAGGAAAGACACTCCATCCAGCTGAGCAGAGACACTCTAACAGAAATATAAAGTAGACAGAGTAAGGAATGGAGTTCCTCTTGAGTGGAAGAGCCCACAGAAGCCAAACCCATATGGAGACATGCTGGCTGATTCACAGGATGCTCAGCTGAAGCGCTGCTGTACCATCAAAGTGCTGGTCCGAGCGGAGCATCGTGGGGTCGACGAAGAACTCCACAAAGACGTAGAAAGCAACGAGCAGCAGAAGCCCCAGGCCCAGGATGGCAGACAGAACACTGTTCAAAAAGAGCCTGCAAGAAGGGGAGAGGTCTCAGTGGCTTCAATAACATCGCACATACAATTCAATATCCCAGACTCTAATAAAGATGGAGATAAAGACAGCTGTCTCAAATTACTGTCACGCTGAATTACACTTATGATAGATACTGGTGAACAGCCTGACTTATTTTTTTGTTACCCTGAGGGACTAAACTGTGACCCTTTAGAGCAGCTGTGGTTACAAAACAGTCAAGTATATCTAGGACAGACAAAGAGCTCCCTGCACAAAATCTGAAGGCAGTGAAACGTGGCACCCAGCAGCAGCAACACTTTGCTCTCCACGGGGTTTTAGTGGGGGAAAGTAAACTGAGAAGCATCAGTGATAGTCTGCTTACTCTTATCTGAAACCTGGCACGGATTAGAGGTGTCTATATGCTGCTGTGAATCCTGCCAACTGGCAAGTCTCACAGGGAAAGCACACAATCTGGATGCAGGTGGTTTCAGATTCGAACAGCATGATCATGGTTCTATTCCCACTCCAGCTCTCAGAAGCATTAAGGACACCCAATTAACATCCTGTAAGCTTTTCCTAATAGCAAGGAATAAGACTATGTTCTCTGTTTTTACTCACAGATGTTCAGCTACAAAATTCTAATTGTTGGGATTTTATCCCTGGTTATTTGAATGTCATAATCATGCTCGTATTTTCCATCTAATTTTCTCATGGCTGATTTTAGTGGGCCAGAAACTGAAAGAAAAGTGGTTCTGTGTGGCTGAGTACAGACTGGACTGAGATGCAGGAGAACCTTGGGAAGGGAAGGGGTGACATTACTGATGCAGCGTTTTGCTCCTGTCACAACGCCAGGCTCCTACCAGTAATTCCTCTCTCCCACACAGTTGTTGAGCCATTTGCAGTGATGATCAAAGCCACACACACACTTGTTGCAAGTTCCACAGTGCTTTGACTTGGCACTCCTGCCAAAGAAAGGATGGTATTAGTGTGACAAGCACCAACTCATTACCATGACTTTCCAGTGACACAAACACAGGGGGGATACAGCAGCAGAGACCCTGGTAATAGTGTGAAAACCTTCTGCATCAAGGGCACTTCAACTCCCAAACACATCTGCCATCGCTGGACCCCAATCCCAAACACCACCAAATTTGCCTTTCAGTGCCTTGTGTGATTTCTAAACTGGAAATTGTCGATTTCTGATTTGAATCCCTTTAGCAGTTCCACAAAGTTTGATCTTAATGCCTGCCCTTCAAGCATTTCTTCTACCATATCAGCATCCAGCCAGACACAAACACACACACACACACACACACACACTGCTACACAATGCTAGGTCAAACACCAACACCCAGGCAACACAGAACACAGAGCCCTCTCCACGCAACATGTGAGCAATGAAATAAAACACACATTTGACAGAAGGTCCCTACCCAACCACCTGAACCCTGCCAGAGGATGAAGCTGAGCTCGCGCTTCAGGGGCTCGGTTACAACCTTACAGTCTGACATTACAGACCAATGGTGAAGTGCAAAGCTAAAGAAGACGGGGAAATAGAAAGAAGATACTTACACATCCACGTCACAGACATGGCAGTGATGGTTTTCAATGACATGTGCATGCTGGTTACGATTGAAGGTGGCCAGAGGCCCCAGATAGTTTTTTTCTCGCACGTTTGCATCCGCAGGGTCAATGGAGACTGCAGTAAGATGAACAACTAAATGGTAGATAAAACACACTCCTGGACACTGAAGTAAGTAGACAGTTAAGGATTTAATATGTATCTTTTGATCCTTAATACACAAAGCCCACAGAGATGAGGAATACATAACTTAGAATTGGAAACCACCATATAACTGATTGCAGCAGTTTATTAACAGAGACGTTTGCGCTGTAATAAATACCCTCTGGGAAAAGATAACTAAATCTACAGGGACAATCTTCCTTATTGTGTACTACTCTGCCTCACAGAAATGTCATTCCTAGCACAGAGAGTTTTTAGAAGTTACCTTTACTTACCAGACTCTGACCCTGCTGACATAGGTGCACATTTCTTAGTCCATACAGACCCCTTGGAAAGGAGAGTGGTTAAGGTTGTGCACGTGCCCCTGCACAAGAGCAAATTCCAAGAAGGAAAAAAACAGAAGTCACAGCAAGGAATTAGTACTGATCACCTTGCTTTCCTTTTCCTCAGTCAGAGTTCCAAGAAAGAGGAGCACCTCTTAAGAGTAAGCTCCTTACAAAATTTACAGCCACGATCGAGGATTTGTGCACATCACTGATCCTACCAAGGCCTGTGGAAAACAGAGCAATGAAGTAAGAAAAAAAACTGAGGTCTTTGAGAGGCCCAGCTGACTGGAGCTCTGATGGTTGGTGTAGCAGAATGGGAAGGGATTTGCCTTTGACACAAAAGAGACATTAGTGCTTTATTAACTGGAAGTAAAACTTTGGGATACATTAATCTGTTGAATTGGAATGACTTTAGATTGCATTATGAAGATATTTGGTAGGCAAATTCACGAGGTTTGAGCCGTGATAGCACCAAGGATTTGAGTAAACTAAGTAGATGTAAGACCACTGTGAGCTAATTAATGCCTAAATCACGCAGATGTAACTAAAACAACGATAAGTAAAATCATCCCAAACATATCAAAGGCTCATAGACCAACGTAAGTCAGATGTATAAATTATGAAAGATGCACACCCCACCTCATCAGAACTTTTCCTAGGATTCTCTCAGTAATATTTCTTGGTTATCTGGTTCTGGCTAAGCAGGCACCAAGTGGCACTGAGCCACTCGGTCCATTTTATTTTCACCAGGAAGATGCTGCCAGAAAGACGAGAAAAACCAACACTTGCTCACAAATTACAAAACTCCCACTGGGTTGATAAGCACTAAATTCAAACCTCAGGATACCGATGACCTGAAGTGAGGATCTCAAAATAACTGAGTTTTATAGACAGGACAGGATCAAGATGATGGTTGTCCTTCAGAAGATGATTTCGGTTCAGCTGCTTCCTCCAACACTTTCTGTGCTAACTACTGTCAAAAAAACCCCACTGATAGTTTATTAAGGCCCTTGTTCTCCTCCTGACCAAAGGATACGATGTAGCCAGCGGGCAGCCAGTGGCGGGGCAGCAGAGGAACCAGGATTCCGAAGCCAACCAGTGCGAAGAAGAGGTACAGCAGCCAGGCAATAACCTGGAACAGGTGCAGGGGCCAGCTCCAGCCATTTCTTCGAGCACGCTGCACCTGCACCTCGGGGACAGCTTCATCCAAATCCTCCGGAGCGATCTTGTTATGAGGTTTGTTGCAGATATTCATCTACAGAAATCAAAAATGGAGAGCAAAAAAGATGTGATGCAAATATATTGTGCCCGAGCCCTGGTGCTGGGCACGTGCTCCAAGGCAGACCAAGTTAGAGAGACTAAAATGATGGCACATCTGAGGAGAGGCTTCTCTCTGCATGGGAGATTTGTGTTCATTGGGAACAAAGGGGGAAAACCAATTTCACATGCTAGACGCAAGTGCTGATGTCCGTGTGAAACAACCGTACCCCAAACTTGCAGCCAAGGGAAACCCGCACGTTTTGCCAGTCTTGGAATGGCTCTGGACCCAAAGGGAGTAAAAAGAGCAAAAGAGGGTGTTTTGGAGGCAGCCTGCAGAGAGTGTGTGATATGCTGTGGCCTGGGGGTGTCTTCCTGTCGGAACAGAGATCTGGATGATGTCAGAACAAACGCTTTCACCTGTCTCAGAGATGCCAGGTGACCCTGCCAGGTCGTGCAGACACGGGCAGTGAGAGCCTGTGGCCCCGTGGCAGCACACGGCCTGGAACTGCAATTTAGCACGAGGAAACAGAGGTGCCTTTGTCAGGAACAAAGGAAGTGCAAAGACTAGAAACTGAAAAAAAAGTGAACTGATAACTCAGTGACAAAAAGGGGAAAGGAAGAAGGAGCTGCTCCACAACACAAGTGTAAATAGGACTGTTGCTAGACACCCATGCAGGAAGCAGTTTGGTTATTCAGCTGCCCTCTGATGTCTGGACTCCTGGCATGACACAGCAAGACTTAACTGCAAACACGAGTTGTGAACCATAACCTGGAAAGTTCCACACATTTACAATTCCTGACAGCACAACAGCTCCAGGCTCAGAGGCAATTTCTCCCTTTTTTTTTTGGTTTGTGCTGGATTATTAGCTGCTGCTTGTCACTTGCCACAGAGCTGGGAGGAGTTCCTAACATCAGATACCAGGGAGCACAAAGCAGAGGGAACAAACCAGGCAGCAGCTCTGGGGCTGTAAAACCAGCACTGAGAAGCTCTGCTCTACCTGGTACCTCTGCACCAGTCCCACCCTTCCTTAGGAACTAAAGAGGATGTGGAATTAACATCTCGCATGATAAGCAACTTCAATTAGTCTGATTGACTTGCACGTGAGAGCGCTGGAAGAAAAGCAGGAGGACTCTGGTTCACTTGTGGTGTTTCTGATGATGGTTCCAGTGCCAGAGCAATGCCACAGGGCTGGAAGAGTGCAAGGATGGCAAAGTGCTGAGAGAGAGAGCAGGACAACTCCAGTCTTGGTGTGCCAACAGTCCTTCAGCCCCAGGCAAAGGGCTGGAAATGTCTTTTGGGGTCAACTGGTAGAGGAGTGGGTAAGAATAGAACAGAATATGATTTATATTCCTCAGCACAGTCCTATCAACAAGCAGCCTTCCAGGTAATTAGCAGCATCTGCCTGCATTTATAGCTTAAATTGCTACATGGCAACTGGCTCATCACTGATGAGAAACAGTTTCCAGTCATGCCATCCTCTTCTCATTAGGCTGTTGCAAACTTGCTTGTGCATCACTTCGAGCTACCTGATACAAAACCTGCTCAGATCATTTGAAGAAATTCCCAGGTTTTTCCTTTCTCCTCATCAGACCCTGGCTAGGGAAAGAGGCCCCCAGAGACCCTGGAAAGAAAAGGAGGAAGTTCTGCTGCAAGATTTTGCTGGTTTGAGACACTGGATGGTTTTAACACCATGGTATTTAATGTCCAAAATGTTGGTACAGTTGGACAGAATTCTGATAAACCTGCTGTAACTGAAGGTGCCTCCTGGCCGGGCTGTCCCTACGGCTGCAGCAACCCCAGAGCAGAGTCTGGCTGAGAATCACAGAATGGTTTGGGTTGGAAGGGACCTCAAAGCTCATCCAGTTGCACCCCCTGCCATGGGCAGGTTCACCTTCCACCAGCCCAGGTTGCTCCAAGCCCCGTCCAACCTGGCCTTGGACACTCCCAGGGATGGGGCAGCCACAGCTTCTCTGGGCAACTGTGACAGAGCCTCACCACCCTCATAGAGCAGAATTTCCTTCTTATATCCAATCTAACCCTTCCCTCTGTCAGTGTGAAGCCATTCCCCCTTGTCCAGACGCTCCACCTCCCTCTCCCCATGGGATGCCCTTATGCTGTGGGGTATGCCCAGCACTGCCTTCTACCCAGCTCCAGAAACCGCTGAATACAAAAACCAAGGCATGAAGTCACCATCGGGGTACTCAGGGCAAACAGCCCTGAGAGAGGCACCGGTACGCAGGGACAGTCACCAGGGCAGGCACCAGGGGCCGAGCCGGGCGAGCGGGTTCCCGAGCGGCGTAAACCCCTCCAGCACCTCCCTCGTCTCACCTTCTCCCCGCAGAAGCGGTTGGCAGCGTCCCCGTCCCCGCCTCATGCCCGGGCAGGGCGCGGGGCCCGCGGGCGAGGCCTCCGCGGCCGCTCCCGGAGCCTCCTCGGGCCGCTGGGCCCGTCGCCATGGCAACGGCTACGGCGGCGCGCGGGGCCCAAACGGCGCCGGGCGCGACCGCTCCGCGGGGACACGGGAGGAAGGCTGGAAGTTGGGGATGAGCTAAAAGCCATCCTGCTGCTCCTGGAAAATCCCCTTCCCCATTGTGCCGAGCAGTCTTTATAGCACAGAAGTGTATTGTTTTTGTTAATATATATATATTCGGATTTACAGCGAGGCGTAAATGAGGTGGCAGAGTTTTACTAGAGGCTTTGGAGTGGTTAGTGTTTAAGGAAAGCGGACTAAAGCACATGGGAATATGGATCGCTTCTGGGAAGCATAGAGTTGTCTATGAAGGATAAAGGATCCCCTGAGCAACTGGAATGATGCAGCATTTGACACTGCTTTGAAATCCTCCCAGCATCGTCTGGCTTCAGTAATTTCACCAAGATGGACCCCAGGGATTCCTGGATCATGGAATCACAGGATATCTATTCTGAGTTGGAAGGATCCACAAAGATCATCGAGTCTGACTCCTGGCCCTGCACAGGACAACCTCAAGAATCACACCATGTGTTGTCCAAATGCTTTCTGAACTCTGTCATGTTTGGTGCTGTGGCCACTTCACTGAATTAACAAATAAGCAGCAAGAACCATGGAATTATTAAGGTTGGGAAAGCCCCCTAAGATCATCGAGTCCAAATGATAACCCTGCACCATTATGCTCACCACTATACCAGGTCCCCAAGTTACACATCCACACACCTTTTGAACACTTCCAGGAACACTGATTCCACCACTGCCCTGGGCAGAAAGTCCCAGTGCCTGACCACTCTTTCTGTGCAGAATTTTTCTCTAATATCCGATCTAAACCTCTCCAGGCACAACTTGAGGCTATTTTGTCTCATCCTGCCACACGTTACCTGTGAGAAGAGGCTGCCCCCCACCTGGCTACAGCCTCCTTTCAGGGAGTGAGTTTTGCAAAGTTTTACTCTCATCAGCAACCAGCAACGTGGGTGCAAGCGATTCATCGAGTCGTGCTGTCCCTGAAGGTTCGAAGGGTGAAAGAAACCGGCCCCAAACCCCGCTCGTGGTGCCCGGTTTGGCCGGGACACCTCGTGCGCGGGGATAAATATTTACCCCTGTAATTCCCTGCTTTGCATCCCAGCCTCTCTCCGCAGTCGGCGCGGGCCAGCTGTGGATTTTGGTGACCCTGGGGAGGCTTTTCCCTCCCGTCCTCGAGCGAGGCAGCCCCAGGAGCCCCGGGAGCCGCTGTCTGGCGCACAAGGAGCTCTTTATGAGCCGCCGGCCGTCTGCGCACAGCGGCTGCTTTGTGCTGGCCGGGCACTCACCTGAGAAGGCTCCAGGGTGTCCTGGGGGTGGCGTGTCCTTCCCTCTCTGTCCCCAAAGGCCCTCGTCACCTTTTCAACCTCCCGCTGCCGGCGGCTCTCTGGCCGAGGAGGGTGGGGGGCTGCACCTCTGTTGTTCTCTCAGCCCACCCTCCTCAAGCTGGGTGCAGGGGAGCAGCTCGAGGAGCTTTGATCAGCCATATGGTTGGCTCTTGTCAGAGCTGTAGCAGAGGGAAGCCTCCTGGACGCAAGGAAGCATGGCCCCCATCGCCATCCCCTGCTCGCCAGAGCGTGTTCCAGGCGCTGCCAAAGGGGCTGAGGACAGCCTTGGCTGCACAGGATGTGCAGGGCAGCTTGTTGGAAGGTGTCCCTGCCCATGGCAGCAGCGTTGGAACGAGAAGATCCCTTCCAACTCAAACCATTCTGTGATTCTGTGTTTAGCCCATCTCCCAGTCCTCTGCTGGGGGGGGCTCTTCAGCGTGGCCCTCAGCAACAGTGGTGCTGCAAGGGACATGGACACTGCATCACCCTGGGTGGGCTTGGCAGCTCTACTGGCCCCCCCCAAGCTCTGCAAGAGGACCCTGGTGTGAGCACAGCTCTCAGCTGTCCCCAAGAACCTTTCCCCAGGAGCAGGGGGCACGGAGCAAGGAGGACACCCTTTCTACAGCCACTTTTCTTTTATTAGAGATTACAAGATACAAGAAGCTGGCCCTGCATGCCAAGTGCTGTTGGCTCACTCCGTCTTTCCCCTCTGAGTGCTCTGCAGGCAGAGAGAAGGGGGGCTGGCAGAGACAGGCACACCCAGGCTGGTCCCCCCCCCATTGCTTGTGGGGTTTTTCCTACAGGGACACCTTTTTTGCTGTGGTGGCTTTGCCCTACCAGCCATGAGCAAGCATTATGGGAGAGGGACGTCTCCAGTGGGACCACTGAGCTGCATCCGCTCCATCACTCTCCAGGAGAGACCCTGGCTCGGCCCCACGCCTGGCCCCCCCAAAGGGGATCAAAACACATACGGGGACACAAAGACCGTGACCTTGAAGATGTGCTTGCCCAGGAGGACTTTGCGGGAGAACTCGCTCATCTCCAGCTCCACCTCCAGCGTGGCTGGCCCCGCCACGGGGCTGGTGAGCAGCAGCTCTCCCGTCTGCCGGTCGGAGCGGCGCACGGAGAAGACGCCCTGGCCCCGGCCGCCCGTGATGGCGAAGCGCAGGCTGTCGCCCAGGAAGCGGGTGGTGGACATCTTGAAGAGGACCCGGGGCACGGTGCGGTTGGCCTGGAGCGGCAGGTAGTGGAAGGAGATGGAGGTGGCAGCCAGGAGGCAGGCCCGGCTCTCCATGGGGCAGGGGTTCCTCTCGCACTGGCTGCCGGGAGAGAAGGGGGTGCCACCGCTCAGCGCCGTGGCCTGGCTCGCTCGGGGAGCTGCCCTCATCCTCGCAAACGAGCCCAGCCCGCACCACAGGCAGCATCTCCAGCCCCACTGCCGGTCCTGTGGCAGAGCAACCCGAGACAGTCAGATCTGAGTGTGCCTGGCGTCGGATCTCTGCCTCATCCCTGCTTCTGCCAGGCAAACCTCATGCCTTGCAGGGACACAGCTCTGGGTGAGGCTCTAAGGCTGGGACTGGGGGTAGCCCAATCACAGCTGGAGGTCGGGGATGGAGCCAGATGTGCCTCCCGAAGAGGGAGATGTCAGGATCAGGGATGCTCCTCTGCTTGGGTGCTTTTGCTCAGCCACAAAGCAGTTTAGTCTCAAGGGTGGGATGGCCATTGCTGGAAGGCAGCTGATGGCAACACATGGATGCACAGCAGAGGGGAAATAGTGTCTTTTCCCACAGTATGGGGCCCTGAGGGGAGGCAGGATTCTGCGTAAAGCCACCATATATTGAGGTGTTCCCACCTGCACCCCCAGCCACCAGCATCCCAAGACCATCCAGGAGCGTGCCAAGCACACCCGGGCACCCCAAGTGGCAATTTCCTACCAGTGCTGGCCGGCACTTCACCCCGCTGCCCCTGGGTGACACACTACAGTCCCCAGGGCACAGCAGGACCCATCACCCTCGGAGAGGGCACGACACAGCCCGAGCCACCCGCAGTACGGTACTCACAAGGCGGAGGTCTTGACGTAGCTGGTGTTGTGGCGAGGCGGGGGGCACTTGGGGCGCACGCAGCGGTGGCCCCCGAAGGTGTTGATGCAGAGGTCGCCCTGGGTGCAGTTGTGCTGCTTCCCGGCGCACTCATTCACATCTGCGGTGGTGACACGGGGTGAGCGGGGCTGTCCCCACCGCACCCCTCTTCCCACGGGCTGCTCCCTGCCCTGCCACTCTCACCCTCGCAGGCGTTGCGGTCGGCGTGGAGCAGGTACCCGGGGGGGCAGAGGCAGCGGTAGGAGCCGGGGAGGTTGAGGCAGTCGTGGAGGCAAATCCGGGTCTGGGGGCTGGACTGGTAGAGCTGGCACTCATCCACATCTGGGGGGAGGTAAAGTGAGGAATGGTCAGGGGGCCCGTTGCTGCCAAGCCTTGGTTTTCCTGCCTCTCCCTGCCATCTTCAGCCCTCTCTCACCTTGGCACACGCCACCAGCTCTCAGCTGGAAGCCGGTGTCGCAGCTGCAGCGCCGGGAGCCCGAGCGGCCCTCGGCACAGCGGGGCTGGCGGCTGAAGGAGGCGTTGCTCGGTGTCACCCAGTCTGTGGGGTACAGAGGGTGTCACATGCTGAGTGGGGCGTGGGGAGATGGGTGGGGGCCAAGGTCCCCGGGGGGGGGGCTGCCAGGGAGGGAGGAGATGGGTGCAGCATGGCCAGGTGCTGTCCCCATGAGCATCCCCGTCCTCCCCAGTCCAAACCCGGGCACCTACAGGAGTAGATGGGGCTCTGGCAGGTGGGGCCTGACCAGCCTGGGGGGCAGAGGCAGGTGTAGCTCTGGTCGCCATCCACGCAGGTCCCGCTGTTGGCACAGGGGTTGCTGGAGCAGTCGTCAATACCTAGGGGGAAGCAGCTCGTGAGCACCCGCTGGAGAGGCACATCCTCGCTTCATCCCCGTGCCCGTGGCCGCAGCCTCTGGGCAGAGCGATGGAACCCCGTGGCTCAGGGCGAGGGAGGAGCCCACGGGCTGGGCTGAGCCCAGGGCACCCCGACCCCGCTCCACTTCACTTCTGCAGGAGGGCTGGGTGCCGCTCCACGTGCGGTTGTGCCGGCAGCTGCGCGTCTCCGAGCCCACCAGCCGGAAGCCGCCGTCGCAGACGAAGTGAACGTCGTGGCCCACCCGCGCGCTCCGGCCCAGCATCCGCCCGTTCAGGGGCACCGCCAGCTGCGGACAGGTGTCTGTGGACAGACAGACAGACAGACAGACATGGGTGAGGACGGACATCGCCAGGCTGGAGCCGACCCCAACCCGGCGAGGAGCTGGGGGTGCCTTGCCCAGGCTGTTTGTGGGGCCCCAGGGGTCAGAGCCGGCCCCGTGGGGACGTCACCCGTGGTGGCGCCCGGACGGGGTTACCGTTGCGTGTGGGGGGCTGTCTCTGGAGGCGGCTCTGGAGGATGGAGAGCTGGTTGCGGAGCCCGCGTGTGCCCCGCAGGTGGGCGGCCTCCTGCGCCGCCAGCGCCTTCTGCATCTGCCGCACCGCGCTGAGCGCCTGCTGCCGGCTCAGGCACTCCTGGGGCGACA